ACTTTACTTTCTAGTTTCAATTATCTAAAGTATGGATTTATGACTTGAAAAAAATGTTGAAGATCAACATGAACCACTAAGCATTTCAACTCAGCCTCTGCTTGTACCACTTGATTGTGAAAGAGACTCAAAAACCTGTCACATTGTAGAAAAGAATACATCACAGGTTTACATGCTTTATGCTTTTCAAAGTTGTTTTACATACAGTCTGCGTGAATAGTCAGCACGCTCAGAGATAGGAACTAGAGAATGGTAATTGCTGAAGAGGATTTAAGGGAAGGTAAGTTCTGGGCATAACCTTAAACTATTATGTTTCTTCTTCTGTGGACAGCAATTACCACTTCTTTATTTGGCAATAACTTGTAGAAGCACCTTCAACTAATGGTGACATATTCATGCCCAAAAGTAGTTAGTTAGCCAGTCTACTGAAGGTTACCCCATCCACTGTAACCACTGGAATGAGGACAAAAAGACACTGGCACACTTAGTTGGTGCCTGTAGCCATCAGAAGGGTAGAGTAGTTCAGAAAAGCTCCTGAGAGAGACAAACTCTTGTGTTCATCCTGAGTTCACTAGTCAGGAGTTTTCAGAAATATCTAAAAGATTTTTCCATCTGCTAGATATTATTCAAAGTGGTGATACTGCTGACAATGGTAATGAAGGAGAAGAAACAGCTAGCTTACATATTCTGCTTACTGTGAGCAAGGCAGGACTGTTCCAAACACATTTTCTATACTTATTGAATCCTGCCAACAGTCCAAGGAGGTAGCTCCTATTACTGTCTTCATTTCTACATTTGAGGAACTGAAAGCACAAAGAGGTTAAGTAATTTGGCAAAGATCTTGGTGCTGGTAACAGTCTAAGATGGCTCCCAACTCAGGGTATCTGGAGAGCTGTCATTGCATTCACACGGATGGCCACCCCTCTGCTTCTCCTGTCTCCGTTAGCTTCTCTCCACTCATTTGTCATTGTAGAATGTGTATAATTTCAGTGTTGATAGCAAATAATGACCGTCTTATATTGTAGTTATTTTTTAATTTCTTCTGTGCTGTGCTAATGTGGTATACTGTAATCATATTTATCTATTTCATTTAAATTTAAATTAAATACAATTAAATTCAGTTTCTCGGTAACAAAAGTCACAGTACATGTACTCAGTAGCCCCATGTAGTTGATGCTTCCTGCCTTTGAGAACACAGATCCAGAACATTTCTGTCACTGCAGAGTTCTGTTGGACTCGGCTACCTCAGAGCTGTGTGCATGCATTCTCTTGTATAAATGCCAACAAAAGGAGCTTTCTTCGCTTTGGAACTAAAGAGAACAGAGAAAGGCAAAAGTAGGAAAATACAAGTACAAAAATATAAGCTAGCAAGGAACCTTAAACAAGTCCGATCAGGCAGCTTGAACTCTGTTTGGTTTTGCCCCAGACTTATCCTATAATTCTGTACCATAACTTTTCCATTAGTTGATTTTTATATGGGCTTACGTTTCACACATATGAACTGAATACTGATAGCACTATGACTTCTACCTGTTAGAACTATGGCTAGAAATTTCAAATGGTATTTATTGGATCATTTTGTGTTTAAAAGCTTTATTCTGGTTTACCTTTAAAGGAACGTGATAAGGAGGTCACAAAACTACAACTCTGTTATTTCTGATATTTTAAAATATTTTTGAAGGTTAATCATCTTTGAAGGTTGGAAAATTATCTAGATGACTTTTAAGGAAAATTTTACAATGATTGATGTTGCCATAAAATATTACTTATATAATAATGGATGCAGTCTTGTGAAACTAAGGAGCAGTATTTTTTTTTCCTAACTTGATGACAATCATCTTTGAGTTCATGCATAATCAGTAACCTCTTATCTATTTACGAGCATTCCATTCTACATAATAATTTCCATTCAGTTAGTCAACATATATATAAGGTGCTTGAGATTGCAGAGAAAAATGAGAATTGAGTTTGTTCTTGCACTGTGAATATATGTATGTATATAATATTGTCAAAAGCCTAATGCATATCAGTTATGAGAAATAAAATGAAAATGTTTATAAAACATGTAACTTTATAACATATGGCATTTTGTTTATCTTACTTGTACATAATATTATTTTGAATGCAGGAAGAGCGAACCATGCTAACAAAAGAACTTTCTTCACTTCGAGACCAAAGGGAACAGCTAAAAGCAGAAGTAGAAAAATACAGAGAATGTGACCCGCAAGTTGTGGAAGAAATACGTAAGTTTGTATTACACTTTGAGGGTTTTTAACTTTGCTAATGAAAGATACTTTATACTTCTAGTTCCCTGGTAACCATTCTCCATGTATGTGAGAAAATAAAGCCCTTAATAGTATTAATATTGCATTAATATTTCCATTAAGGGGTCTTAATGTTAAAGCATTGAACAGTAACAACTTTGAAATTATAAGCATCTCAAGAACAAGGAAGGTCAGTGAGGTAGAAGGATAAAATCATAAAATATAAGCGTAGGAAACTGAGGAGTCAGAGAAGGAACTAAGTTGTCTTGATTCTAGGAAGAAACCCACCATTATCTTCCAAGAAAAGTGATATCAAAAAGGATGAGTTTACAAGTTGCAGAAAATTAGTCTGTGCATTGACTTGCCTTGTGAACACTCCAATGATATTCTTCCTTTTAAACCAGAGTCCCCAGAGCTTCATTTTTAATAATTTTTATATATTTATGTAAATACGGAATTTTGAATATTTGAAGAAATGATACAGTGTGTTATAAAGATACTACATTTAATTGCTTAGGGAAATATACATAACCTTTTTATATTTTTCTATCTTAGCCTCTCTTTTCATTTAGGAAATTTTACCCAGTGAAACTTTTAGAAAAATGACAGTATGTGATTGAAGGCTTTGAGAGAAATTGAAAATATTTGGTATTTTTAAATGAAGTTGAGAATCACATGGTATTCTTCACAATTAAAAAGATTTTAAGCAGTTCAGTTAGTGTTATCTACAGTTAATCTTAATTTTAGAGACAGGTCCTGCTCTGCACGACTGCAGGAGTCACCATTCAAGTCCTTGCGGTGCACAGCGGGGATAATATGTATCAGTCCTAGTTCAGCTGATTGCCCAGGGCAATTTTCAAAGCAAAATGGAGACAGAACCCCCTGAGCCCTTTTCTGTGAATTAAGTATTTGGGAGACATGTTAACTCTTTTGTGCTGCCTGCAGATTCTTTTCATTTATTATTTTCTTGCAGAAGAAAGTGCTAACCAAGTCTGCTACAGAATTAACCACTTTAATCTATTTTAAAGTTTTAACTAGTATCAAATGACCCTTAGTGAACACAAGCACATCAAAGCAACAGGACACAAGGTATGAATTCACTACTAGGAAGCTAGGCCTGCTCATGATTTACCTTCAAAAGGAAACACGTACTGTGTGTTAAAGAGGACATCGGATGTTATGTGTCTTATCTAGAGCAGCTTCTCGTGAAAGACTGTTTTAAGAACAATTTTCTTACCCAGATTTAATACCTTCAGATGATTTATTTTCAGAATCAGCATGGCTGTGCCCTGTAGCAGTTCCTCATGAAAATTACGTTTTCACAGTAACCAAATATGATCTTTCATTTATTACTTTTACTTGGTTCTACATTCCTTCCTGATTTTAGTTTTGTGCAATTCTTGGACTTTCTCCTTGAAGTACCAACTCTTTGCTTCCCTGTCTCATTCTCTTTCCTATCCAGTCTTAGCCATACCTAGTCAAGGCTTCTGCTTTTTCACCCTGTGGTCCTTCATTGGGTTGTCACAGCTCTTTCCCTGGGCAGATGACCCTGACTGATATCACCTCGACTTGTGACCTCCCATTTTTACAGTCCTTTTCATGATTTTGATTACATCTGTCCACTCAGGAATGACTAAAACTCTTATTTAGGCTTAGAAAACTATTCTGACCTATGCTGATGATGATCATAAGCCAGTGGAGCATCTTGAGTTGCTGAAAATCAAGACAGAGAATTAGGCCAGACTGACTCATGAAGTGGGAAAACTTGTTTCAGGCACATAATTTCCAGTGTTGCCATTTCTTGTACCTCTGAATCAAGCAGCAATCTTGGCAAGTGCATCACCTGTTAGAAAGGTAATCAAACTTGAAGAAAGAAGTTTCAGGGTATATTAAAGATGATGGGTTTTCTGGAGAGTAGAATAACATAGTTGAGATGGAAGTTGCAACTATAATTTTATAGTGATTGCCTGAATTCTCTCCATCTTAACCCTTGAATTAAAAAATTCATAATTTATTTCTCAACCCAAGGAAAACATGCCAATGTGAATGAGTATTATGCAGGGTATGAGGTCTAAGTGAATGAGAAGTTTTCTGGTTTTCAGTGAAGAGACTATCTTTCTTCATCAACATCAAACCTAAATTATCTTTTAGTATTTATTTATGCAGCCACATAAGAATGGATCTGTATTTGGGTTGTATAGAATTTGTAATCATGAATCTATTACAAATATATTAATTTTTTACATTTTCACATTGTACGTTTCTGATCTTAATGGGAAATGAAAGGATAAGAGTCCTTCCTTCCTAGTTTTGTGCTATTATTTTTTATTTCATTAAAAAATCTTCTATAGAATACATTAATTATAGAAAATTATAGCATATTTAATAGACAGTAGATATGTAGGATAATTACATTATTCCATAAATAAATTTTAAGAGTCTCATGTTCTACCAACCAAGCCAGTTGAGCCATAAATATATTTTAGATGTGAAGGTAGGATATCTTTTTCTGTAGAATGTTACCAAACTACAGTGAAAAGAAAAAAAGACTGGCAAAGCCTATATACCTGTAGAAAGAATTTTTAAGCTAACTTCAGTTCATATTTTTATAGAGAAATGTTTAATTTCTTGGCTTTTAAAATTCAGAACAGCTAACAAGTGAAACTTTATATGTGGAGCTTTTACTTTCAGCCAAAATAGAGTAATAATGTACTGAATTTATCCCCCCACATAAAAACAAACAATATACGAAGTGACGGTTTTCAAGATACTTGATATCAGACCACAAAGGAAAGTGATTCCTAGAGAAAGGAAACAGACAAAGTAAGCCTCACATTGTCCCAGGTTATTCTGTTGAGTTTCCTGGCTGCAGCACAAAGGAGAACCTAGGCAGAGCCCTGCAGACCCCCTGAGTCGAGGAGATGGAACTGAGATTAGGGAGACCAACAGCATACTAGAGGGGAAAGAGTAACACAAAGAGAACCGTGGATATCTAGAGAGGGTTCCTCTCAAGTAGTTGATGCATGCATATGAGGAATAGACCCAAAGCTGAAGAAAAAACAATCTCAAAGGATTGAAGGAACAGTGCCAGGCACTCACACAGGAGCAGAAGTAGTGTCTGCTCTCACCAGCCAGATTAGCAAAATTTATAATTCATAAGGCATTGGGTAGAGTACTCAAGAAGATCTTGCCTCAGTAGAAGGGAGTAGTTAGCCCTCAACTGAGCTTTGCTCTCAACCCACCTAACAAGCCATAAGGACAAGTCTTGAAAGGATCAAACTTGTACAATACCCTAAATTCATTCATAACAGAGCTCAATAATTTTTGTAGGAGTACAAAAATATCCAGCACCCAGCAAGAAAATATTCATGTCTGGCATACAATGAAAGATCACCAAGTATGCAAAGAAGTAGGGAAAACATTACCCTTAATGAGGAGAATAATCAAACCTTCAATGAAAACTGACCCAGAATTAACACAGATAGTAGAATTAGAAGACTAGAACATTAAAAGTTACTATAAATGTACTTTGTATGTTCAGAACGTTAAGTAGAAACATTGAAGATATAAAAAAGACCCAAGTCAAACTTCTGGAGATGAACACTGTGGTGTCTGGAAAGAAAAATACACTGGATTGGGTTAACAGCAGATTGAG